AACTCCGTTTTATCAAACGTGTGCTCATCCGTGAAGAAAATATTTTTTCCAGCGGATGTCTTAGTTACAACATGATTGAGCTAACTGGAGTAGTTTCATGTCGTATCCGACAACGGGAGGCTTTTAACAGATGACGTCCTGTTACCTTTGCTGCTAGTGTTAGCTGTCCCTGTCAGCTGCAGCCACTGATGCTTTCTAGACATCGTGATTTCCTAAAACTGAATAAATACCACACATAGCAACACAAAACTGCTTTGCTAGCTCAATCATGTTTTTTCATGGACCGTTTATTGAGTTATTACCTATTACAGACACCGCTAACGGCTAACAGGGCTAACAGCTAACGGTTAGCCCAGCTAAACGTGCACACAGAAATAGTAATGTTTGATCAATCATTGTGTTTATAGACTTTACAAACATCGGATTGGTCCAAACGGTGATACAGTGATGTGAAAAATGTGATATATAGGGTATATATATATATAGCTGAAAGCTCTGCTGGTTTTCTACCCGGAAGTATTTGTAAACAACAAGCCGATTCCCTCTATAGCCTGGCCGGACAGATGAGTCATGGCCTTGTAAAGGATTATGTATGTTTCTTTTAGTTGGCGAGAATGTGTCGCCGCAAACGCGACAAACATCCACTGAACTTTGACGGGGTTTTCTGCGAGCACGGCTGAGCCATTTTGTACCGCTACACGTGTTTCTAGTGGGACTATGTTTACAAGCACAAGAGTTCAGTGAGCCACTGAAGGACCGCCCTGCAGAATTACTATTGGTTCTGCAACGTAGGGAGTTTTTTTAAACTCTGAAATTGTATCCGCCCATCTAAACACAAAATCAGGGAGAAAGTCATCAATCTTTAGTTAAGCAAAGCGTCTAAAGACTGACTTGTGAGTCTACACATTGTGTGACTTAAAATGTGAATAAACATTTATAATCAAAATTAATAATTAAATGCCATCATGGTGGGCATTGTACATCTAGTAAGAAAAAAGAATATTTATTACATGGGGAAAGTTTAGTTTAAATGTTACTGTTACTTTATCTACATAAGATCAAATATTTCGGTATGAAAAGTTGCATTTTTTATTTAACCAAGTATCCTGTATCATAACTACATGTCTGACAATTGTAACAAACCAAACTGCATGAAAATCGGTTGAGAATTCAGCGAGTAATGATGATTTTAATCATAAATAGTCTCCTGCCTCAATAGACATACATGCCTTAGGCAGCGCGGCTCCACCTTGGCAAGATGGCGGCCGTGTTGACGTATCGCTCCAATGAGGAGCGCCGTTGAATGCGGCATCTACGTATAGGCCTATATATCTATGCGGAGATGAAGTCAGATTAGGTAAATGGCATGACGTTTGTGAAAGAGTCTGAGAAGTCTGGTGCTGTTCATAAAGCACTCAGGATGCCACAGTTTATCCCACACTACTCTTTTTGGAACCACAGAGTACCTAATAATTTAGCTTTCAGCCATGCTTGTTGTTGCTGTGGGTAACAATATAATGTCAATAATGTCAACAAGTCGGAGTATCATGTAATGAATTTTTCATATATTTAAAATTAAACCAGTATTTCTGTGAACGAGATGATGTGGCACACCCCTAGTTCACATGGTGCCCAGAACAACAACCAACGTACCTAGGGTGCTTTGCACATCATATCTCAGCATGGAAAGTCCATGACCAAACGTTGATATGTGACAAGGTTGGAATGAGAATGTGTTGGTTTGTCACACAGAAAGGTGGGTGTGGTCCGTGAGTGGTGGAAATTAAAACGTTTGGTCCATAGTCAAATAGACTATGTTTGCTCCCCTAATATTAATTAATATCTTCACAGAAAAATCTGAGCGTTTACATTTTGCTCCTCTTTAAGTTGTCATTTTCATTACAGGAAAGCTTTTAGCCAGCTGTTCATCTAAATCAGCTGCCCCTGTCCCTGCCTGGTGCCAGGCCTAAGTACAGACACATCTACATCCTCAGCAGCCCTGTGTCCCCATATACCCCCTACCAATGATCCAGACCTCCTAACTAAAAAAAGGAAGTGAGCAGCAGTGTGTCAACTGACATGTAACTTAATGGTAACTGAAATTTTGGCCAAGATGTTTGTGATGGAAGACGCACTCAGATTTTTTACTTATGTAAAAGTAGAAGTACTACAGTCTAAAAATACTTCATTACAAGTACATGTTTATATTTTAAAGGTCACTGGTAACTATAAGTACCAAATAAATGTGGCGTAAAAAGTACAATATTTTGGAAATGAAATGAAATAGCAGTTTAAGTAGCATGTAATGGAAATACTCAAGCAAAGCACGACTATGTCAAGGCTGTCAAGTCAGTCAGTCAGTCAGTCAAACTTAATTTATAAAGCGCATTTCCTACACAAGGCAAACTCAATGTGCTTTATGTGCAATGTGCAATGTGATAATTTAAGTTGTGTTTACGTATGACATGTGAAAGTGGAAGCATATAGAGGTTAAACAGCAATGGTCCAAGAATTGACCCTTGAGGGACCCCACATGTAATGTCCATTTTGTTGGAGGAGAAATCCCCAATGGAGACAAAAACCTTCATGTCATGTAAGTAGGTTTTGAACCAGTTCAGAACTGGGCCAGATAAGCCGACCCATCTTATAAGCCTATCCAGTAGGATTTTATGGTCAACAGTGTCAAAAGAGGCACAGAGATCGAGTAGAACAAGAATGGATATTTTTTGGAGTCTGTGTTTATTTATAGATCATTTACCACATTAATAAGTGCTGTTTCTGTGCTGTGGTGGGGGCGAAAACCTGATTGATAAATATCTAGAAGGCTATTTGATGTGAGATAGTTTTTGAGCTGAGTGTAAACTGTTTTTTCAAGTATTTTGCTGAGGAACGGTAAATTGGAGATGGGCTGGTAATTAGCAGTGACACTTGGATCCAGATTATTCTTTTTCAGGAGTGGTGATATGGGAAATATACATGACTGAAGAGAGCAGTTAATGATATCTAAAACCTGAGGTACTAAGCAGTTAAAAACAGTTTTAAAAAATGTAGGTGGGAGAGCAGCAGGTGGAGGACCTGAGCTGACCTACAATATTGCAAAGTTCTGTCAGATCTAAACAATCAAAGTGAGACATGACACAAGCGGAGTTTCTGGAGAAAAGGACAGGTTCATTTTTTGATCTTAGGGCACTAATGGTTTGTCTGATAGTAATGATTTTGTCATTAAAGAATAAAGCGAATTGCTCACATTTTTCTGTAGACAGCAAATCTGATGGGATGGTGGATGGTGGATTAATAAGTCTGTCAACAGTGGAGAAAAGTACTTTACTATTATTGATATTTTCATTTATGATTTTAGAAAAGAAAGACTGTCTAGCCTGTTTATTTGCTTTGTTATATTCATTCAGTTTATCCTAATAGATTTCATTATGAACCTGACGTTTTGTTTTTCTCCACTGTCGCTCCGCCTGACGACACTTTCTTTTTAACTGTCTGACATCCACTCCATTTCTCCAGGAGCCTTTTGTTTTTTCACATATTTAATTTTAACAGGTGCAATGTTGTCAAAGATACTCGTTGAGTTGAAGATGTCCGCAGGATCCCCAGCTGGAGATACCATGGACTGCGACAACTCATTCACGGTTCTCTGAAAACTTTCAATGGTATTGTTATTGATTATGTGTTTTTTGATTGTTCAAAAACCATTAAGTTGTATAGAGAAAGCAGATATGTCAAAGTAAATGCAACAGTGATCAAAGAAAGCTACATCCATAACACAGGGTGCAGTGATATTAAGTCCTTTTGAGATGATAAGGTCTAAAGTATGTCCTTTTATTGTAGGTGGGTCCACGGACATGTTGGGAGAGGTCAAATGCCTCCAGCAGATTCAATGAGTTAATGGCATCTGGATCTGTTTCAGTGTCAAAATGAATATTAAAGTCACCTGATACAATAAGACAGTCATAATCAATGGAGACCTTGGATAATAGCTGAGAAAATTTTTCCAGAAAGCCACATTTGGATTTTGGTGGACGACAGACTGTTGTTATTAAGATTGTGGTTTTACAGTGTACAGATACAGCAAGGTATTCAAAAGAGATGTATTCACCGAGGGGGATTTCCTTGGTTGTGGGCTACTTTAAGTGCAGTACTCGAGTACATGTACTTAGTTACAATCTATCACTGATTGTTACAAATTGTATTACATATTGTTGCATGCATGTCTGCACAGTGTTATATTTTTACAGCTCACTGTCAGTAAATATTATAGCCTACCATAAGTAGTAAACTTCAAGAGAGTCGCAAGCCTCAGTGGTATAGTTTGTTAAAGCTTGGAATGGGTTGATTGGGTTCTGGAGGTGTGTGTTACAGCAACTGTGCAGTGCTCGCGTGACCTGTGGTGGTTGGACCTGATGCAATATCTTTTTATGGGGACAAAAATCCCTGGCAAAGCCCCTGCTTACCTACATAAATGCAGCTATGCAGAAAGTATGCTTGTAAATTTTTATTTTAATATTGTCTTATCTGTGCTAAAATTGTGCTACTCAAGTTAAGGTTCTCAGTATTTCTTTTGTTTTTTAACCACTGATTTTAGTGCTGACTTGCGACTTCCTAAAGGGATATTTTAGGTCAAAAGAACTTAAGAAATAGCTGTGAGTATTTATGGAATTTTTCACTTCATCATATCAAAAATTCTGTGTTGTGCAATCCCAACCACAGAGAGGAAGTGATCACATTCTGAAGGAAACATGAGCCTTTGCACATGCAACACTGATCACGCATGCATGTTCCTCTACTCACATGCAGAGGTTAGTGGGAGTGGTCACAAGTTAGAAGCTCCTGCTACGGTCGGACACACTGTCATATTCAGCCTGTGTTAGGGGACTGTTTGATTCAGCTCTGCTCTCTCTCCATCATGAAGCTGTATGTGATTGTTCCACTGTTTGCTCTGTTCACCTCCACCCAACAGGTAAGAAAACATAGTATGGTAATGTAGTGATTACTGTTTCTTTTGAAATTTTGATTAATTGCACACCGCACATTTCAAATGTAGATGAATTTACATACTGTATCTTGTATTTATTTTTATTTACATGCCACATTTAATCTTGTTGATTTGAAGGCATCTTCACCAAATAATAAGTGTGCATGTGAGTTGACTAATTCAGAGAAAGCATTTCCTCATGGCAAACTCAGCACAGCGGAGGACAATGCATCAAAATGCAACAGCAACATCACTCCACAGATGGTAAGCAGTTGCATTTTTCTCTAAGCCAGACTATAAAGAACACAACTTCCCTAAGCAGCTGTAAAACTGAAATAATAATTATAACAGTAGTAAATAGATTGTATGTATGTATTCATGCTGATGGAGTCCTAAGTGATATGATAGCATAGTGTGGACCTGCTGTGTCTGCAGACTCTGGAGATGGAGAGTCTGCTGCTGGGTTTGGAGCGACGTCTGCCCCAGCTGCAGGAAGATGTGGCGATGCTAGAGAGGGAGGATGATGGCGAGCTCTATGGAGTCCTCAGCCTGCAAGTGATCGAGAATGAACTGATGGAGATCAAGCAGCTCATTGCCAGGCTCAACAGGACTACCCTGGCACACCGGCATCTAACTAAAGATGCTGCTAAACAGGTAGAGTCAACTACCAGCTACAAAGTGCTGACATGATTGCTCAAAGGAAACTCGAGTTATGGCCTATTTCCTGCTAAGCCCCGCCCTTGGTAAGGTTTTTTTTTTTCCAGTGATTGTGGCCATGTTTTTTGACCGATCTTGCTCATTTATAGTAGAAAGTTGTATATACATCCAAAGATACTGTATACCACATTTTGTGTTGATTACCTCAGAAAGTTCTATTCATTTGACTGTCTATAAAACAATTTTTAAAAAATCCAATGGGCGGACCCTATGGGTCCAAGAGGCATTTTTGTAAAGCAAATTGAGCTTCACTTGTGTGTAAGATTTTAAATCATTTGGGCTTACAGTTTGAGGGATGTCTCCAGTGTTGACCTTAATTACAGCACTACCATGTGGCCGACTGGTGTATTTTTTGGTAGGCATCTTCAGAGTGCCACTCCAGATGTCTCCAGTGAGTATCATTAGGACTGGTCAAAGTCATCTTGAGTTATGAGTTAAAATTTAATAGGCCACGCCCACTTTTACCAATCAATATGGCACTTAAAATTTTGGTTCATACTTGGCCCCAGAGCATGCATACCAATTGTTCATTAAAACAATTAATATTCCTATTATTACTATTCAGCTGGTCATCACTTACTTGAAATCTCTGTCAGGCATCATTGTGGCTTATGAGAGCTGTCAATCAGCTGTCAGTCAGCTGTTATCCGTTTGTGGCTCAGTCCGATGTGACGTATCGTCTGCTGTGCAGAGGATTGTGGGTCAGAATAGCCAGAAAAGCATGCTGGATGTAAAATGCAACCACATGTAGTAGAATATGGTGGTATTTTTTGGCATACTGCGTATATTTTTCAGTACACAGTATGTCAAATGCAGTATGCCAAAAATTCCAGACGGACACTGACACAAACACGGTGATTAACGCGACATATTTTTGACATGTGCTCACTGTCCGCTGTATGCACGCAAGTGTCTGTGTGTGTGTGTGTGTGTGTGTGTGCGTGCGCGTGCGTCGGGGTGGAACTCCGCCGTGCGCGATACAGTTAGCAGAGAACAACTGTAAGCATGTGACCATATAGAGACAGAAATGACATGCCGTCGTGTAAATTAGATAAATAACATAAGGCTATTTAGCTTGTTTAATAAAAGGACAAGGTATAGACCTGTTCTATAGGAAAGGTACTCTTAAATTACTTCTGTTGTGATCTGGCGCTATATAGAAAATGAAATTAAATAAAATTTTAATTTTCTATTTTCTAATATAACGGTAGGGGAAACACTGATATAGTATGGTAGTATGGCCCTTCTGTGCGGAGTCTGCATGTTCTGCCCGTGTCAGCGTCGGTTTTCTCTGGGTACTACGGCTTCCTCCCACAACCCAAAGACATGCACAATAGATTAACTGGTGACTCTAAATTGTCCATAGGTGTGAATGTGAGAGTGAATGGTTGTCTGTCTCCATATGTTAGCTATGCGACAGTCTGGCGACCTGCCCAGGGTGTACCTGTCCTGGGATAGGCTCCAGCCCCCCGTGACCCCCAACAGGATAAATTACAGAAAATGAATGCACAGTATGTATTGGAATGCACAGTAAGATTCAACACAACTGAATATTTCTGCCTTTGCTGCCATCTGGTGGTATGAAGAGCAAAAAGGGTAGACATAAATACACCAAAAATTACACATAGTAACTAACTAATGTATTCTGCATGAAGATTTGGGCAAAAATGTATAGAAAAGTAGAATTGTACTGATGCTGAGCCCCCTGTTGACTCTGGATCCATCACGCAGAGTAAGTATGGAAGTTACTTACTCTGCATATTTATTCATTTTTAATCCAGCTCTATTTTATTTTGAAAAGTTAACTCCATATGGGAGTTGTATTATCAAGATAAGCAACATATTTAGTGCTGTGGGTTTGGTGGTGAGGTTTGAAATTGGTCGCTCAAACATCTTTCTTTATCAATGTATAAGTCAGTCTAGTTTCACTGCTGACAGGTACTACTGCATGTTTGTAAAATATATCTATACATTGGGATGTTTGTTCTGCTGCTTAGCTGGAGGACCTGGAAGCGGAGATGCAGGAGCTGGAGACGTACGACACCATGGGGGTGGTGAAGACACAAATACTCAACCAGCGTCTGAAGAGAGAGCTGGACCAATGCACGATGAGACACATCACCACCCGACCCACTCAGCCTCCACATGGTGTGTGCCAAAACCACACCAAGCACCAGAGTGTTTTTTACTTCTCTTTCACTTCCACCCGAGGCCAGCAGATGGATGAAATATCACTCTGCTTGTTTAGCAATTGCATTTTCCAGTTTAGTCCACCCATGATACATTTTGCAAATTTGCATTGTTAAGAGGGGGGGATTCGGGGAAAATGCTTGACCCTCCTTCCATTATAAGTATTTTTTTATATTCGCAAAATGCTCAGGGGGAGTGAGAATTACTACCACAACAAACAGGTAATTTCTTTAGCAAAATGGAAATCCTACTTACAGATCGCATCACCACTCAAGCACTTTTTTTCTGCGAAATTTTAAATGAGACATCATCGGATAACAAATCAAAAGTTTTGCTCGGGCTAGGTTCGGGTACGGCCCATTTGACATGCTCCTGTGTTGTGCTATGGCCTATTCAAGTGCTGGAATTTGTTATTTTCGTGACAACGCCGGAACACAACACAGGCTCTGTTCCAACTGAGTGTGTGTACAGTCCCGTGTTGCGCTGTGCTGCTGTGCAAGCACTGCGTTTGACTGTGCTTAACAGCCATCTTTTGATGGTCATTTACACACTGTCCATAACAATAACTATGTCAGGTAACAAACTGCGTCGGGCTCGGGACGGATTTGGACCCCATGTGCGCATTGGGGCAGAACTCTGCTGGGCACAATACAGAGAGCAGAGGAGAATTGCAAATGCACGACCATGTAGAGACAGAAATGACATGCCGTCATGTAGGCTAAAAAAAATAAATAACATAAGGCTATTTAGTTTCTTTAATAAAAGGACAAGGTATAGACCTGTTTCATAGGAAAGGTAACCTTAAATGACTTCTGTTGTGATATGGCGCTATATAGGAAATAATATTGAATAAATTTAACTTGACCTTCAAAGGGGGGTGGGGATTGCTTTTGGGGGACAGGGCGCCCCCCTAATATAATGGTAGGGGAAACACTGCAATAAATAAACAGTGGAAAGCTCTAAGCACCTATCACAACAATTAGGAAGTAATTATCTCACTTAACCAGATGTACTTATTTAGTACATGTTCTTTGTCTCTTGCTCTAAGGTAACTGCCCCCATGGTCAATTTGTGAACATTACGGGGCCAAGGGTGTACACAGCAGGAGAGTACCCTGGCTCCTACAAGTATGGAGCTTGGGGTCGGGATCCCAAACCAGAGGTGGGGAAGGAGAGATGGTATTGGCTGGTAATGTTGACCTCTGGCAACAAATTCTCCAACTACGTCCGTCTCTACTCCAGCCTGAGCTCTCTCGTAGTTGGGGTGAGCCAGCCAGGTAAGGAACTCATGTTTTTCTGCTCACAACTAGTGTTCACTTTTTATCCTGTATTAGGCTTTGCAGTCAGGGAAAACTCTTCATCAGACTCTTCCTCCAAGGACCAGATCAGTGTGTTGTATTTGGACAGGTTTAATACATTGAAGTGTGAAACAGCCCCAAAAAATATACAAGCAAATATTAGCTCTCAGCAAAAATATACAAGCAAATATTAGCTCTCAGCAAAGATTTAGAGTACTGTATTGGATTTAGATCATCAATTTTTTATCTGCAAGTGAACAATCTAAATTATTCACTTAAAGCCTAAGTCTTCAACAGGGAGTCCACAACCCTTAGGGGGTCCCCAGAGTTATTTACTTTATTATTTTTTGATAATATAAGTAGTTTGTTGTTGTTCAAAAATGAAAACATGTCTAAAGATACACATTAAAGAGGCAACAGATAGGATTCGGTTTTTTTTAGCTTGGCGCCACAAGCGTCAGTGGTGTTGCTCACACTGTCGCAATGACCAAACTGACCTTAGGGATCAGAGATAATCAATAAAATGTAGGCTGTAAAGCCACCAGTATACCTCTATGTATATGTAGAATAAGAAGGTGTGTGGACACTCTACTAAATAAATGAGTAAAGAGACCGAGCAACAATTATCAGATTTATTTGAAGAAAAAACAAATAGTAATGCAAATAATTATACCAGAATGCACAGTACCAGTACAAACAACTCACAGTAAATAATACCAATATGTACAGTATCAGTTCAAACAACAGTAGACACGTAAGGGATAATATATAGTGAGCAGGTGACTCTGTTGTTTATTTTTCAACAGTCACTGGCTCACTATACATTATCCTGCTTAGAACATGGCTTACTACTAAAACATTCAAATGTTACAACTGGCATCAATATTATTAAATTGCTGGCAGAGAGTACTGACACAGGAGAGGTGTTCACCAGACAAACTGCGGCCGTTTTCTGGAGCGGAGGAGAGGATTTTACTTCACTTCTCCAGGTCAGAGATGCTGGGTGCCCAGTAGCTGCGAAGGCTGCCCTGACATTTATGGCCAGTGACCGAAATGATCTCCCTGCTCTCCAGGCCAGCTTGGGAGAGCTGTGTGGACTAACGTTAACTGATTTTGATGCTCCTCAGTCTAAGGCTGTTGCTATGGCGCGGTGATACCTCAAGAAATAAACACCACAGAGTTTTGTTGATTGACCAATCAGAATCAAGCATTTAAGAGTGCCATGTTCTAAAGTGGAATTATACCAATAAGCACATGTAAACAGTCCCGATTCTAGAATAAACGGTACCGTATGGAAACGATGCGGCCGGTTGGAGCTCAAATTGAATGGGAAACAAAGTCCAGTGTTTACTTAGCTGGGCGTAACTTAGCTGGGCGATGTCCATCGATAGCTGCCTCTGTGAGAAGTCAACAGAAGGAACGGAGGGGGGTATCACTGTCAGAGGGCTGCCGTAGAATGGCAACGAGGATGTCAGCCGACCAACACTTGCTACCCGGTCCCTGGTTGTGGCGATTTGCGATGCTGGCCAGCTAGGAATTAACTAGCAGCCAGTACAGTACAGTTCTCTCTCATCTAGCTAACATTTAGCCGTGTTACTTACTGATCCATTAGAAAGAAAGCTAGCTGGACATCGGTTTTGAAGCCTCTTTGGTCACGGAGCTCCCTCCATATCTTGAACACCTGACTGAGGTTTAATCTTGTTTTTCCTCTTCTTTTATCACTCTCCTTTTTGCTCTTCTTTGCCTCCTCAGACAGAGGAGCTAATTTTCTTTTGCTAGGCTGTTTTTCACTCATCTCCAAACTTTGTCAGTCTGCCATTGTGCTTGTGACTCAACTATCTCATGCTCAACTCCTCATAAGGACCAGCTCCAGTCCCTGATTGGCTGACCGACCAGTTTAGCAATACATGACGCATTTCCTGCCTTAAAGCAGATTTTTTCCACGAAATTTTGGCACCAGTGGCAGAAGCTTATTACAAAGCCACTAAGTAACCAATATAAACGCTGATAGTCGGATTTTACTAGAGCCACTACCCTGTGCAACCCACATTATTTTCATAATGATATATTTAGGAAAAGATACTATCTGTTGCCTCTTTAACATGAATCCAACATATTATGATAAATCAGCATACTCATAGAAAACAACATTTAATCAACAGTACATAACATTAGTGATAGGGTAATTTTTACCTATAAGTCCTTGTGCAATTATGTGAGCTACTTAACACTCAAGTAAAGTCACTGTGCGGCACTTATCATACCCATAACAGTGAGGTGAACTAGTTAGCTAACATTTACATAATACTGAAATATGTTGGTCAGTAGGTTGTATTGTTATTTCAAGTGTATGGACATTCTTTTGAGCCTAACCCTTTTCAAGCAACAGACTCTGACATACTGTTGAATTGAAAAGCCACTGGGCAAAGAGCAGAGGGTGAAGCTAATGCACCTAGCCAAGCACAAACAAGAGAAGACCCAAAAACATCCAGAGAATTATCTCAAGTGCAACTCGATCTCATACAATGTATGTAGCAGGAGGTCCCTGCTCTGAATATTTCTGAGCTAAGAGGTCCTTCACCTGAAAAGCAACTTGGCCTCACTTAGCAGTCATTGTAAACCAGGGCTTGGTCAGTGACTTCCAGTGTCAGACATCAACAAAAAAAGCCTTCCTTTCACATCAGCATGATACATGGCCAGTTGCCGTTTTTGTTTAACAGCACCTCACCTGGCAGCTTCAGGGCAAAATGTGGCAGGACAACAACCAAAGTTAAGGGGACAAAAGTCCAAGTAGGGTGGACAAGAGGGGTAGTGATGGGCCCAACAGCCATCGGTTTTCATCCTGGAGGCCAACTTCCCGTATGAATATAAAACCAAACACTGTTCTTTTCTCCTAAACCCAATCACATGCTTGTATTGTTGAAGGAAAAAAATGGAAATTTGCAGTAGTGGATTAATCCATAGTTGGTGTACAGTATTTCTGGCAACAGGAAGGTGTAGGTGGGCTGACTGAAAATAAATTACAGTGTGTATGTTCATGGTAATGAAGAAGCACGTCATCCCGCTGCCCTGTCTCCTAGAAATTTGTTTAAGTACAGCTAAATTGGAACAGAAAATACATATTTGAGGGAAACATAATGCAGAGCAATCAACCCGGTCTTACTCCCACAGTCCAAAGACATGCAGGTTGGGGATAGGTTAATTAGTGACTGTAAATTGGCCGTAGTTGAGAATGTGAGTGTGAATGGTTGTCTGTCTCTATGTGTCAGCCCTGCGATAGTCTGGCGACCTGTCCAGGGTGTACCCTGCCTCTCGCCCAATGTCAGCTAGCGACCCTTAACTTTTTTTTATGATCATTTAACCTAACCAAAGTCACAATCTTTCCTTAACCTTAACTTTCGGTGCTTTTGTTGCCTGAAACTAACTACAGACAGGAGTCTGGATGTCACAGTCCTGCGCTTTACTCTGACCACCTCCCTGCAAATCCAGCACAGTACATAAATGCAGTGTTTCTTTAACCAGAAGTGTTCTAGCTGAACATAATCTGTGGTGGCGAAAAGGCCTAGAAATGTTTGACAGTTAAGGTCAAGTTAGAAGCAAAACATGTTTACTTAGATTGAACAACCTTGAATGGGACAGTGACAAGAACAGAGTAATCTAAAACAAACATTGTCTGACATTGGGGCAGAACAAGCTGTATTAAGATAAAATAAGCACAAGCTCTGGAAAAGACAGGAAATCATACCTGCACACACACACACACACACACACACACACACACACACACACAATTAGATACGATGTCTATCTGAGGAGGATTATAAGAATGTTTGGTGAACTGTTCTACGGTGCTGTCTCATTGTTGCGGTATGTGAAGTTGTAAGTTGTGCCTTCAATAAACCTGCAAGGCTGTAAGACTGACCTCGAGTCATAAAGTCGTTTTTCAACAAATCCAGGCAGTGATCAAGATGTCTCCACAACATAATTGTGAAAACAATTTAGTGATATACAAACATAATTTCTAGGAGATAGGGTTGCACCCAGTGCAGCAATGTGGCTAATAGGTTTTTAGCTTTCCTATGGCACAGAGGAAAAAGCTATTTGAAAGTATCATTGGTTTTGGTACAGTTAGGGCTTGTGTTGACAATAAGAAAAATATAGAATATCCCAGACAGAAGGATTAATTCACTGATGATTTGGGACTTTTCATGGGATTTACTGATAGTAAGAACAATAGAATATAACTATCCTTAAACCCATAAAAGAGTAGGCACAAATACTATTGTTTTCTTTCTTTGAAATTTAACAAATTATAACAATACTTAGTTACAATTACATTTGTTCTTTCCCCTTTTGCTCCTTCTTGTTCTTCTGCTAGGTAATGTCCAGATCCACTCCTCTAACCCAACCACCAACACCATCCAAGGTCCAAATGTTGTGATGTATGGAGGGGCATTGTACTACAACTGTTACAACCAAGATGCTGTTTGTCGATTCAACCTCACCACCAAAACTGTTACCAGCTTACAACTACCCAAAGGCACCAGGTTCGCTGCTAGACTTTAAGATCATTATTTGAATGGGTGTTGCTAAATAAATGTCTCGATTCTTCAAAAAATAGTAATAGTCTTGGAATCTTCCATATTGCATGAAAATGTAAAAAATGGAATGAATGAGGCAACTTCTGAGAAAGATTAAATGTATGTGTCAAATTATGAACATGTAAGCATGACATAATGAGTCCAAGAAAACTAAGATACTGATACGCTGTTTTCCAACTGAAGTATCAGTTTTTTCCTCCATTGATTCCAGGTTTAACTCAAAGGGTAACTTTTGCCACCTTGATGAATGCTACCCGTTCACTGACTTGGACCTGGCGACAGATGAATCAGGTGTCTGGGTAATCTATACCACCACCCAGGACTTTGGCAACCTGGTGCTGTCCAAGGTGGAGGGGAGTGGACCGCTGATGCTTGGCCAAACCTGGCACACCTCAGTATACAAGCAGGGGGTGACCAACACCTTCATGGCGTGCGGCATGCTCTTTGCAACACGGTACATTGACAAAGATACGGAGGAGATTTTCTATTCATTTGACACCACAACAGGGTTAGAGAGGTTTGATGTTGGTGTCTTCATCAACAAGATGTCTTCAAACATATATGCCCTGAACTACAGCCCTGTGGACCAGATGCTACATGCCTACTGTGACTCCCTCATGGTCTCCTATAAGGTTTTGTTCAGATGAACGGTTAATGCTGGTGTCGTTTCCATAAAACCCTGTATCCACATAATGGCTGCAGTAATAGTGATCAGCATGAAATAATAAGGGTGATTCCTTAATAAAGGCCAACAAATAGCAGTGAGGGGGTGTGATATTACCTGTACTATATATGGTATGCATGGTACATCTACATGGTAAATTTGGCATCATGTACATTTGCATTGCAAGATGTTCATAGTTGATAAATGTATGTACCTTGAGTGTGGAAACATTTGAATTGCATTGATCTAGCTGCATCAGGTGAAGAAGAAATATTTACAATATTACGTTAAAACATAATTAAAAGCAAACACTTTGAAATAATGTGTGTAGCAGTGGATGTGGTTCATGTCTCAATACAATCTGTTGACCAAGGATGGTATATGTCTTTAAAAACCTCTTAGAAACCCGACATCCCATCCAGTTTTATTTGATGATTGTGATGTGTAAACAACTGCTGTATTTTCTGTGTTTAAGTTGCTGGAAAAGTCATTGGAAAGCTATGCTCCTTACAATGGATGCAGACCATTTCAAGATACATCCACTACAGCAGCTTAAATTAACGCTTCTGTCAGGCATAAAACAAATAAACAGTTATAACTCGCCTATGAAGTGTTACTATAATCCATAGATTAATATTATGCCAACAGAAATGCTCATACAGCATTCATACATGTCCAAAGGTCCAGACGATCTAAATCCAGCAAAATATTTAGTCCAAACACATTATTACATCCATAGTTATCCATCAACTGCCATTGTATTTCTCCACATTTTATCCATAATTTCTTCAGTTTAAATAAAGTATGGCAACTCCTCAATCAAAATAAAGACTAAACTCCTGACCTTTTGATTGACACCTCATTTTAGCCAATAGGAGCTTCCATACAGTCTAGGCTTCAGTAGGCAAAGAGGGCCTGTGTTAAAGGTAGAGCCTGGCGCAGTTCCCATAGCCTTACAGCCAATCAATAGCTAGCCACTGGCTTATGGGTCTTGTAGTCAATGACACTCCTCACTCCTCAGCAGTATGTGACCCCAAGAGATTGGGGACTCACAGTGACTTGAGACAGATGACTTGAAAGGACTTGACTTTACAGTATGTAAAGCGGCATCATGAGCTTCACTGTGTGCCTTTATTCAGTTCTATCTGTGTGACTCATTCAGTATTGAAAATGCTTTGCAGCTGGGGCGTCGGTGGCTTAGTGGGGAGAGCAGGCGCCCCATGTACAAGGCAGCGGCCCTGGTTCGGGTCCAGCCTGTGGCCCTTTGCCGCATGTCATCCCCCCCCCCCCCCNCCCCCCCCCCCCCGCCCACCTCTCTCTCCCCCTTTCAAACTTACCTACTCTGTCCATTGGAGGCAAAATGCCCTAAAAAAAACAAAAAAAACAAAAAAATAGAAAAAATGCTTTGCAACTCTGGGCTCCGGGCTATTGTGCACATTAGTCACCACTGTGAGAGCCAATACATGCACTGCTAGCTTTATATACTCAGGCTCTCCTCTTATTTGTACGAGGTTTTGATGCTGCCACAGTGCTAACGACTGCTCCTGCCTGTTAACTCAACATAAGTTCACTATCTGTGAGTGTGTGAATGTACGCTAGCCATGCACATCCATGCGTCATGAGATTCTCCAGTGACTGTACTGGTATTTACTCACACAGTTTTCTTTAAAGTCAAAACAGATGAATTTTCTTTCCCCTCACAGAGACAAAAACAAATACCAATACCATTTGGTTACCAAAATAAGAGTTTTGAAGTAACAGCCACCAAGTCACCTTATATTACCCTTTTAACATATAAACCATTCAAAACATTTAGGCATGTCACAACAACTACCTTAAAGAAAACAATAGAAACCTCCCTCTTTTCTCACGGGAAAAAGCAGAAACTTTTTTGCAAGCAAAAAGTCACACGTTAAACAGTTCACAATTTGGTAACTCAACCCTGAAAAAATGTTCGAAAAATTAACAAACGCTTGGATTTCTAAACAGTGGAGCCCTTAAGTTGGTGCCATATGAAGAAAATAAATGCTTGGCTCAACACTGTTGAAATGGTTCAGTAAGTAGTCTCCAGTGACTCACACATCCTCGAAATACAGGCCAGAAGGATCCAAGAACCGGTAGATGAAAGCAGGCAGATGATGCAGCAGGATAGTGAAGTGTGGCAGTAAATTGTCTGTGCTGTCATGCAGGTCTAGTACACTGAGTCCCTCCTCACAGGTAGAGGTAATTGGCAGTAGCAGGGTGACATCAGCCACTCCTCTTCTCCTCCGTCCGCAGTGAAAATGACGCCTGGTGTTTACTACTAATTGTCTCTAATGACGGTCCTGGCAGAATCGTCCACGTCTGTGGCTCAAAACACACTTTTACACTTTGTTTCAAAGTTAATGAAGAGCCACCTTGGGTCGGAGGTGAGTCGGCACATAGTCTGCCACGACGAGTCCTCATGTGTGAACAAGCCTATGAGCAAGTCGCCCCCTCATCTGAGACTGGGACTGGGTATCTGACAAGTGTGACACGACTGAAAAAAAGCATCAGCCAATGAGAGGCCGGATACGTCCCACCTCAGCATACAGGAGGATGGAATAAATGTGAGGAGGACAAGCCGGCAAGCAACAACAACAATGGTGGCGTCCACAGGAGCACGGGGAGCGCGTTGTGTTTGGACCCAGGCCCTGGAGGCAGATCGAATTCAACACTGGGAGGAATAATCATGCCTTTACAATGTGTCATCTCCAAGTTACCACGACCGCCTGGAGAAAGAAAAGGCATGGAGGGCGACTGCAAGAAGGGCTGCAGGTACCAGCTGAGTGTAGCGCTTTTGGTTACTACAAGCTTTTGCAACAGTGGATACTAGCTATGCAAAATAAAAACATGCCACTATAAATGCCAACAATTCCCATCAGTTTTAGAAGTTCACAACGAACACACAGTTTTTTGGCTTCTGGCGCTTTGGCTCGTGGAAGTTTTATGTAATATCACCTGTCTAAACACATCGTTTGATAAATGAGGTTACCTTCACTGATTATAATTTGTTGTGTTCAACGTTAATCTTGTACTATGTTGCGTCGTCAGCTATGGCATGCATTCACATTCCTCTCTGAATTTTGGTTCACAGTCGAAGAAGTGAAGACAAGGGTGGCAAGTGTGCGCACACGGTTCTCTCGGCTTATCAAGCAGAGACCAAGTGGGAGTGGGACCAAGCCCTTAACTTCAAGGCAGAAGTGGATTCTGGTGGCTCTGGATTTCATTAAAAAGCACATTGTCCATCGTGCGTGTGAGACGACTGTGAGTACGCTTTCTTTCCTGATGTTACAGTTCTACACAGCAAATGGTAGTGTAGTTGCATCAAGTGTACGTAGACCACATGTTTGCATTTTACATTTGGGATGTCTACTGAACTATTTCAATTTTGCATCCAGCTGAATTTACCATGTCATAAGGAGTCTTTGAACCTGGACCTGTCAGAAAATCCAGAATCATCTCCACTGTCACTATCTACATGTACCACATTGCCATCCCCATCTTCCCCCGCTACACCAGATGAAGGCGCTCCTCCTGCAGCTCCTCCAAGGGGAAGGAAACTCAGGAGGGAGGATGACAACGAAACACAAAAGCTTGACGTCCTGAAGCAAATGGTGGCGGTATACACAGAAAGATCCAGCCACTTTGCATCATAACCAAGTGGCTGTGGAGCTCGAGCTGATCAATGACCCAGCAACAGTTTCCAGGTTAAAAAAAGACATACTACTGAATCTGTCCCTGACCTCTCCAGCACCACCATACTGCACCAGCACACCGACCACAAGTGCGCGGCACACACATTACAGTTTTCTTGAGAGCCTGAATGACCAATGACAATGCCTAATAGCTTTTATTTTTATTTTGTTTGCAGTGACTTTATTTTGTGGGTAATTATGTTGCAACTGCTTTTCAAAGTAGAACTTAAGACAGGAACAAGTTGTTGATGGGGTGCAAGACGCCGACACCTGTACAAGTGTAATGCAAAATGTCCACGACGATAGCAGAGATTGTGCTGGTCCCAATCCTGTACTGGAAGCAGAGGGACTGGAACGTTTCTCCTGGATCAAAAAACAAACGAAAAGGACTACTACATATACAGCAACAGAGACCATTGCTTTATTTTTACTTTATTTAGCGTGCCAAATTAATATTACTGACAGAATAATAACTAAAGAGGGTTAATTAAATAAAAAGTAATATTTTAAGGGGAACAACAATAGTAACTGTTTTCTACTGGGTTACACACGCAATCCGCTTGCAGAAACCCATTCCTTCACCCAAATCCTTTTCTTCTTTTCCTGTTTCTTCTCAGCGCAAACGACCTGCAGAGCTCCAAGCTGTCGGACATCCATGTTGACAAGTAATCTTTAGCACCGGGGAACTTCATAATATCCTGTTTTGTTCACACGTGACAAAACGTAGTTTGTTGACATCACCATGTTATCTGGGGCTCCGTCAGCAAGGGCTCGATGGAGAAATCTTGTGGTGTGCACTCACAGGTCGTAACTTGAAACACACTGAAAAGATTACGATAGTCTCCGCGACTCAAGATTGGTCGGCCAGTTGTTTAATGTGAACTCGCTGCAAAATAATACTTGCACTGGCACTAACTAGTGTTGGCCCCCTTTTTTTTTCCCCGTAAAAGGTTTTTTTGGGGGGGGGGGGTTTGCTTATCCGCTGCGAGGGTCCTAAGGACAGAGGGATGTTGTATGCTGTAAAGCCCTCTGAGGCCAATTGTGAATTGTGATATTAGGCTTTATAAATAAAACTGATTTATTGAAAATTGATTTTAGTCTGTAAATACTGTCCACCTCGACGTTAAGCATCTTTTTGCCGAGCATCCACACACCGCTCTCCCTCCTTCACCCAAGACTGTATCATCTCTCCCGAACTTGACCTTTCCCCACCCCCAGAGTTCTCTCTGATTGGCTCAGTGTACATCACAAATTGAGAATACATTGGCTCATTACCAGAACACTGAAATTAACAACAAACAAAGGAGCTTGGGAAATATAGTTCTTTCAGTAAATCCACACATATCCTAAAAAAACTCACCCCTTTATGTTGTTCCCTTTCACTTGATTGATTTTCACTACAGTGACTTGGGACTTGCTTGACACTTGAAGGTTATGACTTGAGACTTGCTCATGATTTGCACGTGTGACTTACTCCCACCTCTGTTAACCCCTTATTGTCATCATAGACTGAAGCGTACAGAAATAAGAAACAAATTGCTCCTCTGTTGTCTTAAAAAACAGTTTTTCTTATCAGTATAGGTTTTTGTAGAAGTGTTTTTAATATAGTAAGCTCTTAAATAGACTTCTCTGTCTGTGTTTATTAGTTTTTTAATCATATTCATACATTCAGTTCATTGTTTTACCCTATTTTTGTGTTTCTAAGCGCCTGGACTAGACCGAGAAAAACCTTATTTTCTGTGATGTTGTTATTTACTTTGAATTCTGACTATGTAAGGCTTCATAATATGATCCCATTGCATTTGTCAGCTAATACCTCCCTCTTGAAGTCATCTGCAGCATCTTTTTTCAAGACAATATTCAGGTCAAGATAGATTAGATAGATT